ACTTGTGTAGCTGAAAAGATTTACCTTGGCCTCCTAGTCTCTCTCACTCCCGCAGAATCACTCTGTACTTGCCTCCCCCAGAGCCCCGCTGCCGCCCTGCTTCTGCCTCATCCATATTCATCCCGCGACTCTCTCTCTCTTGCTGTCTGTCTCCCTCGCTCTCTCTCACTGTGTCACCCACAGCATGGCGTTAATACACCAATTAGTACTAAGAGCAGATAATGGACTATGTCATATTGCAAAATGGAAAGAGAGACACAGAGACACAGCAAGTGAAAAAGAGAGAGATTGAGAGGGTGAGTGAGAAAGGGAGAGCGAGGGAGAGAGAGAGACAAAGAGAGAGAGAGGGGGGGTGGAGGTGTCTTTATGGATGTGGTCTCTGAAAATGTTGAAATGCAGCATTTGCTGTGAACATCCATCCAATGGAAAGAGCATGATAGGAAGAGCGCTCCGGCGGTCACAGGGCTGCTATATAAAAGCTGAGGTGTTACACCAACGCTTTGCTGGCTTCAAATACTGATGTCTGTTTGCCTTTGTTGGACTTTTAAACCCTTTTCATTGGTTTCTTCCCCTTTTACTACTAGAAATGCCACATAGTTTCCTTTCCTACCACTCTGTTCACATCCACACCTACAGGCCTTCTACTCCACCACCTCCAGTGTATATACAGGGCATGCATGAAAGACTGCAAAGACTTCCTCCAGTGGTTCTGTAGTAGTATGTTTTTAGGCTATTGATTATAAATATATATAAATATATAAATAATGCCAATCTGTCAACATAGAAACATGATAATAATAAATGCAGGTATTTAGTCAATTATGTGCCACCAACATAATACAATGTGCATAATAGTGATTTGTATGAAACAGATGCATTTTGAAGTAATGCCTTGCAGCTTTTAATATGTATAATATATAATATGTATTAATATATAATATTAGTCCTGAATTAATTATAACTAATAATTGTGTTGCAACCAAAAAATACTTTAACAAACTATTTCTCATACAGCAAATTGGAAAATATTTACTTTCTAAGTCTTATAACAAGAACATTTTGATTTTGTGCTTTGTGGTAAAGGAGATAATTTGTCAATCACTGCAAAACAAGAAGCTGTATAACTGTGAAAGTAGGAGCTATTTGCAAATAGGGCAAGGTGTTATGTAAATAATGGTTCTGCATAAACATGAGCTCTGACTAGGAAAAACTGGCATTAATCAAACATGAGCTAGAACAAATTAAAATATGCCAGCTGTATGAGTCCATTTTCTCCTCCTTTTTAGAAGAAAACAAGAAATATTCAGGCAAACACGACCACTGATGCTTTGTTGATAAAGTCTGTCTTATCATGCAAGACATCGCTGTATTGAGAATATAAATGCAACATGGGACACAAGTGAACAAAAAGAATTGTTATTAACAATGACATTGTGAAATTTTCACAGTCATGGTCGAGCCTGAATGAATTTATTCAGTGCTAGAACAGCCCCACACACCAGTACAAAACCACTACAAAGCTACGTAGTGGCAGGCTCTTATCTTGGATTTCCTTTCATTTTTTCCCATCCCCGGTGTATTTTAACCACTGCATTTATCAACACTTATCTGAATCATTTTATATGGGTGAAAGCAGGAAAGTAATTATGATTTGGTGATGTCTATTTTGAATATAGCTGAACTTTTGATCAGTATCCAGTCCAAAAAAATCAGTTTCCTGTGTGTTTCTGAGCTGCAGCTATTTATTTGAGAGCCTCCTCAGACAACACAAATATACTGAGTACTAAAATAAAGTGTCATCCTTAACAACTTTGAATGAACATTATACTGTACTATACATATTTTGAGCTCCCTGCAAAATGACAATCATTCATGACTGAATCCAGATGATAATGATATCTGAGCACAGTGAAGTTTGTAAAAGGTTTAAGTTGTGTGTAGAAGCACACGAACAGTCCATACTGTATATGTGATAAGCTGTGTTTGTAGTGTAGTTTTAAGACCACTGCACAAAACACAAATGTGTAGCCAGCATTACCAGAGAATGTAATGATATCCAGCTCTGATTAAGTATTGAGCATCTACAAATCTTTCTATATCTTTCTATATATAAATGTTTCTCTTTTAGACTATTTGACTTAAGATGACATTATTCGTGAGTAAAGTGATCAAGCAGTGGGGGCTGCAGTATTTGTAACAAGGATCCACTGCTTGTGTTTAGTAGGCCAATCAGCACTTAATCATGTGCAGTCACTATTGTTGTTGCTAAGAGACCGGCGTGTGATGAACAACTGCTGAGCCTATGCAAAGCATGACTTTGCATAAGTCTGTCTACATTGGGTTCTTAGTGGGCCATTCACTTCTGTAGGTGATGCGTTTTACCTACAGTCTCTTCTGAATGCACAGAGCACTGTGACTTTGCATGAATAACATCTGATCTAGAAAAAAAATTCTAATACAGTGTGTGACTGCCATGAAGCACAAACTACATTATGCTGGCTGTTTATTGGCGCAATGAGTCAGGCGGCCCATGAAGGTCAATTGACTGGATTTGAGAGCAGTATAACAGAGTAGGTACTGTGTGACAGAAAGCTAAGTGGCAAAGGCGTGTAGAGCCCATTCAATAGAGCCCAATATTAGCTATCGTAATAGAAACTGACAAAGGCATTTTCAGAGGGGAGTGAGAAATTGCAACATGCACTGTGAACTGGTGCAATTGTTGCATGTGATATGTAAGTTAAATAATTTCATCTGGCAGTAGAGCCTACCCTGTGCTCACTGGAGACCAAAGACTGCCTGGGATTAATCCTGAATTATTAGCCCTCTTTGCAAGAATGATCTAAAAACCATAATTAAACAAAACAACATTATATCATCTGTATTCAGATATATTTGGTGTAGGTGTTCAAAATTCAATATATATTTAGGGGGTTAAACAGATAAAGTATTAGTTTCTACTAAAAACATGTATCAAGATGCACAAAAAACTATTAAAGTGAGACTTTGTAACTTTTGCTGAACAATAGACAATGTCAACAAGTCACAACTGTAGGATAAAAGCACATTAAATGTCCCTTCAGTTTCCAGTATGCTCATGTTTCAATAAGGAGACATCATTATTAGGCTCCTTGACCAGTCTATGGCCCTGACTGAAAGTGAGTAGAACCATATGGGTGCAGTAAACATCTCCCTCAGTGCGAGTTCCCTATTGAAACTGAAGGGAATTTTTCTTTCTTTCTTGGTTTTTTCTGCAAAGTAACCTCAATTTTGGGGGCCTAAACATACTCTAAAATTCACCAAACTTTGCACATTATTCAGGCGGGGCGAAAAAATTTGTATTTTCTGGGTTTTGCGCATTGGGTGTAGCAAAATGGCTTGCCAGCGCCCACTATAGAGCAGCCTGCAGACAAAGTTTGAGCTACGTGTACAAAATTTCTGTGGTACGTGTATCATGTCTAGATGTACAAAAAAGCTTCCTGAAGCGATGCCCGACAACCTACGAACTCCTACTAGGGAATTTGTGGCGGTGGCGTGACGCCGAAGTTCCACGCTTCGCCATGACACAGGAAGTTGTTTTAACTTGACTGTACATGTTCAGAATCTGTACCAAATTTTCCACGTTTAATAAGAGTCCTGCCCTGAACACATGTGCATGCCAATATTCACTCATAGTCATAGTGCCACCTGCTGGCAACAGGAAGTGACCTTTAACAAAGCAGCCCCCGTGGCACGTTTTACCTACATGTATGAAATTTCAGTGGCAAATAGATGTACCAAAAAGCCGCTTGGAGCGATGCCTTAAACCCAACAGGAACTCGGGCATTTTGAATTTTATGGTCATTTTGGGATGATTTACACACTCCTTCCTTTAACAAACTCCTTCTAGGGATTTAGTCCGACCGACTTCAGATTAAAAGTTGTACAAACAGTGAGTTTTCGTGAAACGGGACGAGTTGTGTCCAAAATTGATGATTCGCCATGAAAGAGGAAGTTGTTGTAACTTCAGTCTACATGCTCACATCTGCACCAAACTTTACGTGCTTGATAACAGTCACGCCTCAAACATATCTACATGCCAATATTCAGTTATAGTCTTAGCGCCAAGTGCTATGTAGTGCCACACAGCGGACACAGGATGTGATAATTAACACCTTTGTGCAGCGTACGAAGTGCTTTCACAGCTTTTTTTATGACTGTAGTGTAACAGTATCACAAGAGAATAGTCTTAAAGTCAGTGGACTGACACACTAATGTCAATTACACACCAGTATCTACGTAAAGTTAACTAACTTTAGCTGACATTAGCCATCATTAGCTACTGGTCTTACCAGACCAAGTAAGACTACAGTAGTAAAATCTGTCAGCGTATTGAATTGAGGATGGCTTTATGTTATTGCTAGTTAATTCAACTCCTGGATGTGAATATGTTTGAAAACTGCTGCACGTATGCACTCAATATACTGAACCTACTCATTTAATGTATGTTGTGAAATAAAATGTTTACCATAACTGTATATTGCTTCCCTTTGATGCTGCACTTTCATTTGTCCTGTGGTACAATATATAACATGAGGGATGCTGTGGGCATGCAGTATGTAGCCTGTATGCACATTATAATATTGTATAGTATGTGGCATTCTAATGTATGATACTATATATATAAACCTTTTAAATGTGTCGGATAGGTATACTATAGCACCTGCACTGCCACTGTATCTAAACATAAAATATGACTAAAGTGGCTTCTGGCCAGCTTTCTATTTATACCTCCAGGAGAAAACTGAATGTGAGAAACCTGACTACACGCTGGTAGCTCTGCAGGCTGAGGAGTAACATGTACTTCCAATGTTAAGAGTTTCAACGCAGTTTGGAACTGTTGTTGTGTGTCATCCCCTGACTCACTCTCTGTGCTGTACAGTTGCTAAATAATGTTCCAGTGCAGGCTTTTGACTTGTTTTTAGCTTTGTATTCCTCAGATTATTTCCTCTTTTTGCTCTCACCTGTGAATATCCTGAAGAGCCCCTGAACTGCCAGTTTATGACACTACATCAGCCCAGTGCAGCACTCCATCTGGGTTCTTCTGCAACTTGTCTGTCAGTGGAAGTACCAGAAAAATAATCTTTAGAAAAATCCATTTGTGACTGTGCATAGGGGTAACAAACTACAGTCTTTATAAGGATTTGTCCCTTCTGAGAATCAGTGCTATGACATTAATCAGACATGTTGTCTTTAGTGCTGTTGAACTAATCAAAAAATATAAAAAGCCCATTGAGATGAATTTAAATTGAGGAGTTCTTGTAGGTGTAAGGGTGCATCTACACAATTCCCACACAATGTTAGCAGGGCTTTGTTTATTCATTCAATATGAAAATTGTTGGATCTTTTTAAATAAATCTTTATCTTTCACTAAAACTATTATACCTGAAATACATGGTCTAGCATTGAGGCCTAAACTGTTTCTTCACATCAAACTGAAAGAGTTTGAGCTCTTACACAACAAGATTCAGTCACATGCTGATTGCATGCTGTCACTGTGGGAAAACAACTTAATTTCTTATGAAAGGTCTACTAATTTTTTCAGTGAAACGCCCCTTTAAAGGTAATGCAAATTTATAGCACCATTTGAGAGGAGTTGTTTGAATTTATACAGAATTAATAAGTAACATATTATTATTATTCACAGAGAGTGAAGAGATAACAGTGGATAACCTTTGAATCAAGTATTCAGTTTCAGTTAAGTCAAACTATATCTGATTCCAACCACAGATGACCATTTCAAGGACATCTGGTTCCTGAACCCAACTGTTGGAAACCACGTGAGTTAGGTAGCTAAAAAAAAAAGAAACAAAAAAAAACAAGTGCTGGTGCTACACAGAGGAAGCAATTTAACTAGTGGGCGGGCAGAAGTGGCACATTTTTCCTGCATTAAGTCAGAGTTGGTTATTAAAACTGTCTTGATACTGTCTTTAGGCTACCAAACTGTACAGGCAATGATAAATGCGCTCGGTTGTAATGGGCCTGATGCAGAGCTGCAGTGGTCGAAAATACCGTGTGAATGGTCCTGATGAGAGTGTGCGCTGCCTGCCGACGAAGAGGGATACTATAGACGAGTGATCCCGTCGGTGCGTCAGGACGCAGAAGATAACCGCAGATGGCCTGTGTAATAATAATTCCAAAGGGTGATTTCGCACCGACATTATTTTTTGCGACTACATGAAGGTGACGAGTCTACAGTTTGAAAATAGAAGCTTTCTGTGAACAGATACACATCAGACATCCAAGGGTCTGATTTGTCTTAAGCGGACGTTCTGCGACTGTGGCACATTTGCTCACATGCTCGCCATCTAGGCAGCGACGGACGGACAGCACGATTACAACTTCAATTCTGTTAATATTCCACTTCAGTTTCACACTACCGTCACCGCTCAACGTTGTAGTAACTTGCACGTTATTAGTGTTTTTAAGCAGGAAAATGGTGTCGTCACCGTTATTTATTTTGATGCCCACACGGGCGCATTTTCGTGAGAATCTGCTCTGTCCGTGAGGATCCCCCCCCCTCCCCACTGCTTTTATCATATTTATAGTCGAGTGGATTTTTTCCCTCTCCAGTTTTTCGTCGGTTTGTCTTTAAGATATTAATTTTTAATTCTTATGCATCCGCACGAAGACGGGACCAGAGAGGACAAAACGAGTGATAACCAGAGGGGGAGAGAAGGAGAAGGAGGCAAGTAAGGAGGGAAGCGAGAATGAATGAAACACTGAGCAATTAAGGAAAAGGAGATTGGAGGAATCAAGGTAAGAACGAAACAAATTTTCCATGTTATATGTTCTTAATACATGTGATACCAAGTGCGACAATAATAGCATGTGATGTGCACCATCCATGCTTCCAGTTTCCGGCTGCGTGAGGTGTTCAGGCGTGTAAGCCGATTTATTTATTGATATTTTATGCTTTGACAGATTGGAATTTGTGTTTATGGTGAGTCAACAGCAGTCGCTTTATATTTATAAAGCGTGCATAATGCACTTAGTCGGATTTGAGTGTAGGGCTCCCGTTTGTGGGCCTATGCATTACACCGTGGCCTGCACACTAATAGATTTTGTCAATTTTAATTAATACATACAGCCTGGGACCAGGGAAAATGACTCTTTGCTTGTCCTAGAAAAGTGAAGTGGCGGAAGAAATTTACTGTTCGGCAGAAGCAGGTGACTCTGGGAAAACCGAGGCAGATTATGAGGCTGTCAAATAACCAACAGTTTAATAAGTGATGAACTAATTCTTCCCTGGACGAATTGTTTGGTTTCATCCTTACCAGAAAAAGTAGGTGAGGAAAAGGACTGTCCTAGGATGTTGGCTACATATGTAATATCTCTTTTTTTATCTGAGCACAAGTTCCATCGAAGAGAGAAAGGCATTAAGTATGTCATTGACAAATAGAGGAATAAATGCATCTGAGGGAGTGTACAGCCTCAAAGTGAACTACTCTACCCAATCCCCAATGTCCCGACTACATCATTAATCCTGTACCTTGCCAAATCATTACCTATTGGCCAGCTGCTATCAGAGGGGTCTGGGGAGCCCTAGGAGTCCTTGAGGAATGTTCTAGGGTATCCCCAGTACAATGACATGTGGTTTAATTTCTCTCAAATTTAACTATAGGAATGGCCATTATTTCATATCTTAAATAACAAATGTATCATCTCACTGCTGCATAAAAAAACTCCTCCCATATATTCAAATTTGATCAAATGTGACCCCCTAATGTTGACGGGTTCATATAATGAAAACTGAGGCGCCCTCATATTGTTACTATGCTGAACTAATTCCCAATTTAATAATAAAACATCTAATAAAAAGACATCAAGCGCCTACAATGTGTTATGATGGAAGAAATTAAACCTTTTGTCTTTGTGTGTTATTATGGTAACGTTGTACCTGAGGAGGCAGACAAGAAAGACCCTGAAAACAGTTATTTTCTGCTGGTAAGCTTTTTCCTCATTTCACCGGTGCATTGTGTTTGTCCTGCCAATTCTTGGGGAAAAATTGGCATGTCTACTATTCTGAAGGGGCTGAATGAAATTCAAATTCTTCAGGTGGTAAAACAGCAATATTGCAACTGTCTGATTGTGTTATCTGGGCATTCAAGAAGCCAGACTTGGAATTGGTTTACTGCCAAACACTCTCACCGGGAAGACAGAAGGATTTATTTCCCCCTTGTCTGTGTGTCACATCACCATCAGAAAAATTATTCTTGGCTTTCAATGGGTGAATAATAGTCATACATTAGCATGGCATTAATGATCATCAGACTTTTAATAAGTCACTAATCATAATTAGATTTATTTCAGTGTGAGTTCAGCATTTTGGGAGGCTCTGCAATACTCAGAATTTAGGATTCGACAACCATATTATTCTGTTGAAGGTACCAGTTGTGAAGGAAATACTGTATACAGAACCTGTGTGACGGTCTTTGCACAGAATAATTTTGTTTTATCAAATGCATTTAGTTTAAAAAAAAAATGTGTTTGGTGAACATGACAAATGCACAGACTTGTGCATTCATATACAGTACAGAGTGTATATGCACAAACACACACACACACACACATACACACTTTCTGTGAGTAAGAAAACAGTGCTCTGTCCCCAGTGTGAGTACTCTTGTTACCTTTGCATTTGTGTTACTCTCTCCTTTTTGCAATATGTATGTAAACCCTGTAGCTCTTTGACAAGGCTGACTAAATGAATATGTTAATAGAAAATAAGCATAAAGATACAGCAATGAAAATGACCTATGATGTTTCACACCCTCAGGACAGCTAAATGTATTGCATCTATGCTGGTTCAAAGAATAATGTGAATAATGTATGAATAATTCGCTGTATTTTAAAAGATGTTGAAAGCATTTGGTATTGTGATAACATTTCACAAATTACGGGAAGGGGCCAAATGCTACATGTCAATAAAGGATTGGTGATTTTAACACTGCATAGAGATGTGTCCTTAACCTGTGAAGGACACTGTCATTCTTTTCATGCATAGAATGGTGAAATGAAAATGAGTATTGCTTTTAGTAGCAGCACATTATACTACAATCGACAATGGGCTTTGTGGTAACAAATAACATCATTCAAAAGGAACAGAAAAACAGACTTTATAGCACAGCTGTAAGAATTCACCAAATCCATGATTCAATTATATTTCTAGATTTAAATTGTCTTAAATTTTTCTTAAATTTCTTACTTGTCTTGTTACATTAACGCAAATCATTATTGCACATATTGTGAACATTTGCTTATTCATACAGTTCCTGTAGTCAGTATTTGCACACTCCCTGCTCTTTTAATTTTCATATAGAATATATTTTTTACATTTCTTATTGTAAATTTCTATTTTATATTTAATTTTTATTTATTATTTATATTTACCGTTATGCACTGAAATGGTCAAGTATAAAGTCAAGTATATGTTTTTCAGAAATTCTTATGCACAACAAAGCAAAATATCCATTCAGGGAAAAACATGTTCCAGTTAAATTTTAGCAGACTATACAAAAGGGATAATAAATAAATCTAAAAAGATTGTAGCCATTTGATTTTTCCCCCATCATCTTTCCTTATTGCGAGAAATTTTAGACGAGTAGATTAAGGACTATAGTTGTTTTTCTACTCTGTGTTTAATAGTAAATAATTTTCGAAATTTCATGTGAAGTTAAAACATTGTTGCACCCCTATGTATTTAGCGTATCCAGATATTTGTTGATGTGGTCTTAAAACACACACACATGCTTGCACACACACTTTACTGTACACACATGCTGCCACAGTAACCTTGTTCAACATCCAGGAGGGAATGATTGTAGAATATTTTGTGCCAGTACAGAACAGTAAATTCACCGCGGTATATTCTTATGATAAACTTAATCTCATCATTGCCTAGCAGATATTACATCCGATTAGAACTAGTACAAGATTTAAGAGAAATTAATTTTGAAAAATCATGTTCATGGTCCATGTTGATTTTTGTAATTCTGAATATTATTTGCAATTACAATCCATTCAAAACAACCATTTCAACAAAATTTAATTGTATCTGTATGTCATTGTCTGACCTTTTTTCCCCCCTCAAAATGTCATTTTAACATTACTCTCAAAATCATGTTGATAACTAGTTGCAACCTTTACCAAAACAATTTTGGAACATTTGCCACCTTGTCATTACATATTTGCTGACATTTGCAACAAAATGGATATGCATTGGTTGATGACAGCATCAACCAATGCATAAAAGCAAGAATATCAGAATGGGTTGAAGATTAAAATTGTCTATTGTAGTTTCAGTTAAGTAGATGAATAGTGGGCCCTCTTCAACCTATTACATCTCATTAGGGTGAAGGTATCCAGTGATGAATGTGGCAATACCAGGATGCATGATTTTTAATAGTGTCTCATGAGGTGCTGATATGTACCTATGTACCCCTTGTGCATATGAAAGGCTAATCTTTCATGGCCTTTTCAGTTCTGTCAAAATGCTGTGTATCCATAGGGCAGTTTTTCACTGTACTGACCTAGAAACTGTAGATTGTGTAGTGCCAGGTAGCTTTCCCTCACTGCTTCTCTTCGTAGGCAGCACTGTTTACCTGGCAGGGGCAGCTCTGTGCTTGTCACCAGCCTGATAAGACTTGTCCTGACAGGAAAGCCATTATGATTATAATGACAGTTATTGTGGTTCAGTGTTTTGCCACTGCCGACAAAACACACTGAAAATGGTTTTAAACAGCTGTTGTTGGACTAATTATTGCAATCAAAAATACCCTATTATGTTTTCTAAGGCTATTTGTAATGTGTTGGCTGTTTTCCTCTTAAATGCTAGATTACATTTTGTGAGCATGAACATGCAGTAATGGATTGGAAAGAGAGGGAAAGAAAATAGAATAGCTAGAGGGAAGAGTACAGAGTGCAATAGCAGAGGGGGACAGGTACATAATGGGCAACAGGCAGAAATTGTCTTTGTCGTTGTGCCGAACTGCATAAGCAATGGGCAGTGTGCGTCCATTTTGAAGCTCATGGCCTTTGTGCTGTGGAGTTCTCTGTGAATGTAGCCATGCACACTACAGCCTATAACTGCAGGCTCTTGGCTCTGTGGTCTCTGCTACATCTGGAGGAAGACTGAAGGTGTGGGCTTTGAGAAGCCAATCTTATAGGAGCCTTACCACACACTAATTCAATTCAATTGCTGCAGGCCCTGCGCACATGTAGGCGCCGGCATGGCGAAAATGAACAGGAGCAACAAGAGCACATGAACAGAAAAAAATCGATGAGGACTCTTTTTCATAAATGGAGTGGGTGTTAAATTAGCTGGATGGGGCCATGTAGCAACACACTGGATTGAGTGCCTGGTGTATTTGGGTTGTGTCTATCGACTGAGAGACGACTTGGTGTACAGCACTGAAAAGACTCTGATGCTCAATCAATGTGACCAATCAGCCTCACCAGCAATTCATTCGGTTTTACACAGATTTGTCAGGGGAAAGGGGACTCTGAATTGATGTTTAAAAAGTGCGTCACAGCAGTTTCGACGACCAAATTCTAACCGCTGTTTGTAATGGTCGGGTATGATTGCCCTTTTGAGTTCGCCTGATTTTCCTATTCATGTTGTTAAAAGCAACTTCAAATACCAGTTATCAGCTCACTTTGTGTTTGTCAGTTTTCACTTCTTAACATGTATTTAATGGGTTGTCAAGGCCCTGTGCCAAGATACAATTTTGAAGGCACTTCAGAATAATGATCACAAATCAATATAATCTTGCCCTGCTGGTTATGTGGCATTTTAGGAAATCAGTTTTGGCGGCTCCTGCCAAAGATGTATACTGATGATGAGGCATTTAATACCATGTGATCAATTCTGATTGTTTTGCACCTATAGCAAACCACTAATACAATCAGAGAAATGTGGCAATGCTTGTATATGCCAATAGAGATATAGGCTCACAAGTCTTTCAGCTAGAGTCCAAGTCAAGTCTCAAGTCACTCATGGTTATAATGAATGCTGTATCACCTGCTGCGTTCAGTCCAGGCTGCTTATAACACTGCATAGCTATAAGGAATTCCTATTTTTCACTTACAGAGCACAACCATGTAATGTGCAATGCAATCAATGACAGCTTATAAACTACAGTAAGTCACATTCCCCAGACTCTCAAACCCAGTGTAACGTTAACTAAATAAAACTGTAATAGGCTATTACATGATCAACAATATACCTGGAACCTGTTTTTCACTAACAGAGCACAACTACGTAGCCTACTGTACAATGCATCTACAACTAATCACAGCTAATTAACTAGGCTACTGTAAGTCAACACCTGTAAGCCAACACCTCCCCCAGACTCTCAAACCAGTGTAATGTTATAACTAAATAAAACTGTAACGTTACATGATCAACAATAAAACTGTAACCTGCTTGCAACCACCGTTAATAATTAACGTGATGACAGCCAGTGCGACGTAAATGATAACGTTAATCGACCACCACAAGTCTTTCAAGCAAACAAACGCTCACTCATCTTTTCATAACGAACGACAGTTGGGAGTTAACCTCCCGTAGCTCGTTGCTAAAGCAAGAAGCAAGCTAGCGTTAGATGACCAATGCTGAGCTAAACATGCTTACTAACCTCAGGTTACTAATCTATTTTGCATTGAGAAGTTCTTTTGTTTGGGTCTTGTTGTGTTAAGTTTTAAAGCCAAAGTTTATGTTGGATAGCACAGCAGCCGCACATGAGAGAGGACAATAGGGATGAAACAATTACCGGTTTAACGGTAAACCATGGTAGAATTCCCGACGGTTATTATTCCCGTACACATTTTAATTACGGCAAACACTGTACAGCGTTTCCCAGAAGCAGGCGCGCATGCGCAGAATGCAACGTGGGTTTGTTTGTGTCAATGACAACACGGCGGAGACTCGTATTTTAGTTTTTATGAGAGCGCAGAGGGAAACTTGATGAAGAAAATAAACTTATAGTGAACCCAGGGTGAGTTAACTTTTAGCTTTGGTTTGTCTCTCTTAATTGCTAACAGCGTGTAAACTGAAGCTGTCAGTGTTGCTGCTCTTGTAAAACTTCTACACGTTGTTCTGTTACTGTGTGCGTCGTGTGTTGGCTATTCGTCCACTGCGCATGATAACAGGTTACGCAGTTTACTCAACCAACCAGCATATCTATAAACGCTACAGACTCCTCTGTATTTATGTCAGTTTTTTGGCTCATTGCAGTTACTATCACTGTCTTCTAATGACTTCTATAATTCACTTCTATAGAGATTTGTTTTCATGTAATTGTCCACGGGGGTTTCATGTAATTGTCCATTGTATTACCTATATAAATATAAAATATAAAATCTTGATAATGCACACTTTGATTTTCATATGTTTACAAAAGGTAATTGCTGTTATTTTAGTTTTTTATGCAAGCAAAATTGCAATTGTATTTGTAGTTTTCAATATAAAACTTGGTTTCAATGTGTGTATCAGTACATTTTAATATTTTTTGGCACATTTTTACAATACTGTGATAATACTGATAACCGTGATAATTTTGGCCTCTATAATCGTGATATGAAATTTTCATACCGTTTCGTCCCTAGAGGACAACAAAAAACGGTTTGTTGTCCTCAGCAGATAGGCCAATGTGTTACGTAGGTAAGTTATAGGTAATGCAGGGAGGGGAATAATAGCACGCTCATAAGACATTTCCTAAAAATTAACGTTGTTCACGAGTCCCGCACCTCGAGTCTGAGTCAAGTCTTTTGAGGACGAATCTCAAGTCAAGTCTGAAGTCACTGTGTGTACGACTTAGGTCGGACTCGTGTCCGAGTCTCAAACTCGAGTTCCTATCTCTGATAGGAAGCAAATGCAAACACACTTAATTTCAAAAACTAAAACCTCACAATCAAAAGCAGAGGGATGGCCTCACACACAAAGAGAAAGATGGAGAGAAGATCCATCAGGCCATCTTAGTTAAACTCTTGTCTTCAGGTAATTGGACTAGCTTTCCACAGCCAATCTGTCCATCTGAAAAAGGGGGAGCGCATAGATGAAAGGAAACGGGGATCAATTGACCTAATAGCTTGTCCAATCAATCCTTACGTATTTCTGATAGCTGGATGGAGGGTGCCGACCGGAATGGCGGATGAGCCCCTCTAATTGGCTCGGGCAGAGCGGGAGGCTGAGTGGTAATGGCAGGAGTAGTCGTCGCTCCTCCTCATACCTGGCACTCTTACTCTACCAGCATCAATACAGACACCTTTGTCCTCATTACCTTCAGCTTAGTGCCATGTACAGACCCTTCATCTGCTACTGCAGGACTCCAATTTTCCATTATTACACCTTTTTACACGATCTACTTCTCGCTTTCTGCCACTGACCCCTCACACTCAATGACTGATCCAGGAGTTACTCGACATCTTCTAAGCTATCAACGTATTCAGTCAGGCAGCAGAATTAGGACAGACATGTACATAAACAGGAACTCCGTCTGTCTTTGCTTTTGTATGTGTCTGGTCCTTGCAAGCAGTGATGTTCACCTGAGACTTACCTGAGTCATTCCACAGAGGATGGCTCTGGTGGGTTTGTATTTGTGTCAGCAGTACTCCCCTTGGAGTATATGGTGTTAGACCGGTGTGAGCATGTTTGTGTTTTGCGTCTCTGTGTTCGTGTGTGTGTGCGTATCCATGCTGTGAGCTGTGAGAAGAGGCAACACTAAGAAACAACACGGGACCAAAAGAAGCTGTTTGTTTGCTTATCTGCCAAGATGGGAGTTGGAGAGAAGCAGGTAGAAAAGAGAGAGGAGGTAGGGAAGGAGGCAGAGGGGAGATGAAGCTCCTAGACAGAGGTGTGAAAGGGCATGTATATTCATAAACAGCTGCAAAAACACCTAGAGCATAATACATACAGTAGGCAGATGCCAGATGAGACAGGGGGGTGGAGGGGGTGCACCATGATGGAAAAAGTCAATAAACACCTAGAGCACTGAACTTCTAGAGAGAGAGAGAGAGAGAGAGAGAGAGAGAGAGAGAGAGAGAGCATCCGGAGTGGATTAATTAAGGATTATAATTATGTTGGGACTATGTGTGGCTCACCTGAGACTGTCCTGTGCCGCTGCTCTCCAATCCTCATGCCCTCTGCTTCCCTGCACATATGGACACAAACCACAGGAAAATACTACCCTCACTTGTGGTATCATAGGTTCACCTCTCTGACACTGTGCAGGAAAGTGAATGAGTGCAACAGCATATTAACCTTTTTAGCAGCTGTTTTTTTAATCAGTCCACCACAACGGCAGTCTTGTAATGGTAGTCTCTGTGTTCACGCTGTAAATGTGTCAAGTTTATCTGTGGGCTGCAAATTGTCAGTGTACAATACCTTGAGGTACATTATAGGTTTGTAGGCAGATGAAAACTGGCTCAAATCCCAGATAATTGGTTGGGGGAATTAAGTTAGATAGAGTGTGTTAGTTTGTGAATACCACAAATTGTTGTTAAAGGGCAAATTCACAATTTATATTTAAACACTCATCAATCAATTTTCCCCCCGGCCTTTCAGTGTGGAGTTTGCATGTTCTCCCCGTGTCTGCGTGGGTTCTCTCCGGGTGCTCCGGCTTTCTCCCACCATCCAAAGACATGCAACCTAAGTTGATTGGTGACCCTAAATTGTCCTTAGGTGTGAGTGTGAGTGTGAGTG